TTTTTCGCTATAGGGCGCGTGCGCTCGCCAGACAGACAGAGAGAGACATAGAGACAGAAAGCGAGAAATCACTCCCAAGGGGGGATGGTCACGCTGCAATCCCTTCTCCTCCATTCTCCTCTCGGGATCTTGGGCACGCATGCACACGCGCCCGGCATGAGTTTTAAGACACCGGGTCCGGGATGCGAACCGTGGTCAACTACGTGGGAGTCCAGCGACATAGCCATTATGCTAACAGCTGGTTCCCGGGCTGTCAGGTAATTAGGAATAGCCGATGGGGTGCCCAAGTCAGAGGGGAAGTGCAGAAACACAGGGAGTTCTACAGCGACTGGGCAGCGCGCTGCAGATGCTCTTCGTCAGCTCCCTGACTCCATGTCCTGTCCACACACTGGGCACAGCGCATGTGAGGTCTCTTCGCTCTGCCTCAGCTCCCCGCACGGTTGGTGTAGCCACAGCCTGTGGTGAGCATCCCATGCCTCTGGGGGCTTACGGTTCCCTGGTCTTCCACCTGGTGGTGAGCTGGGTCCTCCCTTGCATGGACAGAAAAAAGAGTAATTTCTCTCTCTCTCTCTTTCTGGCCTTTAGGTCTTAAACATGTTACATCTAAACTAAGTGCTTGGCTTGGGGGGGACTTCCCTTTGCTTTCTCCCCCTTGGTCTGGCCCTTCCCTGGCCTGTCCCCTCTGAGCCAGGGCCCGCCTGGTGGCCTAGATGCAGAAGGGCTCAGGAGGAGGGTGTGGGCCTGCTACGCTCTCTCCTGGTCCTGGTCACGGGCTGTTTCTTGTGGTTTACACTCACGCTCCGGTGCCGGTGGCCGCTGGTGGCCTCCTTGGTCCTGTGTTGTGAAATTATGCTCCAGTGCAGGGTGGCCGCCAGTGGTCTCTCTGGTCCTCTGTTGTGAACTGTGGAAGTTCCATAGGCGCCTGTCTTTGCTTTCTCCAGCTACCCTGACCTACGACACCCTCCGGTTTGCCGAGTTTGAAGATTTCCCTGAGACCTCAGAGCCCGTTTGGATACTGGGTAGAAAATACAGTGTTCTCACAGGTACTGGCCTCCCAGCAGCCGCTGTCCTGGCCGCATGGTCCTCACCTGCGTTTGCGGCCGTTGTCTGCCTACCCCCACCACGTGTGCCTACAAACCTAAGGCCTTGTGTGTGCTTTTCCCTTTAAACAACCAGAGAAGGAGGAGATCCTGTCCGATGTGGCGTCCAGACTTTGGTTTACATACAGGAAGAACTTCCCAGCCATTGGTAAGTGACCGTTTGGTACGGCACCATGTTTGAGGAAGGAGGGGAACCAGACTGCAGCGGCGTGGCCGACACCTCGGTGATCCTGGGAGTATGCTCCTGCACACTCGTGCCAGCCTGGCAGTGCTGGCCCAAGCCCAGCTCACCCTACGCTGAGCCTGCAATCGGGGTGGTGAGTGTGGCCAGCGCATCTGTGGAAGGTGCGGGGAGTGGTCAGCCCTGGCGGGCAGCATGTCTGGAAGGTGCAGGGTGTGCGGGGAGTGATCAGTCCTGGCGGGCAGCGTGTCTGTGGAAGGTGCAGGGTGTGTGGGGAGTGGTCAGCCCTGGCGGGCAGCGCATCTCTGGAAGGTGCAGGGCGTGCGGGATGTGGTCGGCCCTGGCGGGCAGCGCGTCTGTAGAAGGTGCAGGGGGTGTGGGGTGTGGTCAGCCCTGGTGGTGCGTCTGTGAAAGGTGCAGGGCATGCAGGGAGTGGTCAGCCCTGGCGGGCAGCGCATCTCTGGAAGGTGCAGGGCGTGCGGGATGTGGTCGGCCCTGGCGGGCAGCGCGTCTGTAGAAGGTGCAGGGTGTGTGGGGAGTGGTCAGCCCTGGCGGGCAGCGCATCTCTGGAAGGTGCAGGGCGTGTGGGGAGTGGTCGGCCCTGGTGGGCAGTGCGTCTGTGGAAGGTGCAGGGCGTGCGGGATGTGGTCGGCCCTGGCGGGCAGCACTTCTCTGGAAGGTGCAGGGCGTGCAGGGAGTAGTCAGCCCTGGCGGCCAGCACTTCTCTGGAAGGTGCAGGGTGTGTGGGGTGTGGTCAGCCCTGGTGGTGCGTCTGTGAAAGGTGCAGGGCATGCAGGGAGTGGTCAGCCCTGGCGGGCAGCGCATCTCTGGAAGGTGCAGGGCGTGCGGGGAGTGGTCAGCCCTGGCGGGCAGCACTTCTCTGGAAGGTGCAGGGTGTGCGGGGAGTGGTCGGCCCTGGCGGGCAGTGCGTCTGTGGAAGGTGCAGGGTGTATGGGGAGTGGTCAGCCCTGGTGGGCAGCGCGTCTCTGGAAGGTGCAGGGCGTGCGGGGTGTGGTCAGCCCTGGTGGGCAGTGCATCTCTGGAAGGTGCAGGGCGTGTGGGGAGTGGTCAGCCCTGGCAGGCAGCACGTCCGTGGAAGGTGTGGGGGGTGGTCAGCCCTGGCGGGCAGCGTGTTGCTTAGGAGGCTTTGGTCAGGTGTGTCCTGTGAAGGTGTGTCCTGGGCCATGGCTGCGTGGCTCTGCTCTGACGTGGTCAGGATGTCGTGCAGCCTTTGCTCTGTGACATTGTCTTTTCTAGCATGTGCCACACGTAGCCAAGGGGAGGTTTGAAGGCAGCCAAACGTGCTAAACATGAAAGAGACGCTTCACCCTTGCATACCCTGGAAGGGAGGGGATGAAGACGGGCCCTGGGCCTTGCCTGTGACCTCAGAAAGTCCATTGGGACCAGCGGTCAAGGATTTGGGTGAACACTGCCCCCTATAGGCCAGTGATGACTTGGCCCTCCTCCTAGATTCAGTCTCAAGTCTTCTCTGAAAGTGAGGTGGGAGCGAAACGGCCCTGCCAGCCGATGACCAGGAACACCAGGGAAATGAGACACGCAACCCGCGGGCTGTGCGAGGCGACCTGTGCCGTGTTCCAGGAATAGTGGCTGACCCTGTCGGCAGCACACTGTACTGCCCTTGGCCTGCACGCGGCTGGCCCCTTTCCCCTCTGGCGTTGCGAGAAAGGGGAGCAGAGCTGGAGAGGCCACCGCTCGGCCGGGTTGGGGGCGGCAAGGCTGAGGCAGCTGGAGTGCAGTGCTGCGGGGCTGGTGCACATGCGAAGGTGTCCAGCTGGGTCCAGACCTCCCTCAGCATGCTGGGCCTGTGCAGGTCTGTGAGCGGGGCCAGCCGTGTGGAACCGGCTGGGTGCTGTTTCTTGCTCAGGAAGAAAAGAATGGGTAACGTGCAAGTGGGCTCCCCTCCCACATTTGTCCCCAGGGACGGCTTGCTCTCACAGTGGGGAGAGGGCCCGCCCCCGGTGCAGGGCTGAGTGCTGTGCATTGGGAGTTCGTCCACGTGGCCAGCTGCATTTTGAGTCCTGGCTGCCCAGGGACGTGCTGGGTGCATGCACACCCCAAGATGCTGCTGAAACGGAGGGGAGGATTGCGGCATGGCCACACCCACCAGGGGCCTTTTCTCTGCCCCTCATACTTCTCTGGCAGTTGGAAAACAGTGGGTGGCTGTGTGACCACACTGCCCAGAGGAGGGCCTGTCCTCCCCATGCGTGAAGGAGCTGCCTGTGGCCGAGGTGGGAGAAGTCAGCCAGGACCGCAGACCTCGTGGCCCGGCCCCGCACTGGGGCTTCTTCACCGCAGCAGTTACCTACCTGCCCTCGCCCTGCGCACGGGCCCCCTCCTGTCACAGCGGCCCTGTGATTCTCATGCTCCCGCTGCGGCTGGCGGGATAACTCCCCAGACGTCTGTCTTATTATGCATGCTGTCAGTCTTCTGGGCCCAGAGAGCAGATGTGAAGTGACAGGGCCTGGGTTGGGCGTCGTTGTCTTCCTCCACGTTGCCGACAGGTGCCTAGCCTGGGCGGTTCCATAAAGGAGGTGGGCGTGTGTTTACAGCGTGGGAGCTGGCAGCGGGGAGTCCGAGCCTGGGCCTACAGCATGGCTGGCGGAGCAGAGGAAGGTGATGGGTGCGTGCAGAGAGCTCCTGGCCCATCCCTCTTGTGTAGCTACCAGTCCTCAGAGAACTAACCCTCCGTGAGAGCTGGGGCCCTAGTTGCCAGGTGTCACTGCCGGCAGGGTGCAGTCCCTGTGTGAACCTCACCCTGGGCACACGAGGAAACCCGGTGGCACTGGACCCCTCGCCGTGCCAACCGTGTACTGAGTCTTGGCACACGGGTATCTGGGGATGCCTCCTGGCCGTAGCAGCACATGTGCTGGGAAGGCCGAGAGCTGTTTCAAACCACCACCACGTGTGGCCCCTCGGCACCCCTGGGCATTGTCAGACCTTTGCTCATTGGCCTTTGTGGCAGTCAGAGGGTCCTCCTCGTCCGGCCTTATGCTCCGAGGTTCCTTGTGGGGCGTGGTCTCAGCACTGGGCAAGCCTGCCTTCGGCTCCATGGCTGACTCCCACGTGGTTCACTGTTTCGAGGGCAGTTCATCGGGATGTCACACTCCCTTGCAAGCGTGGCCCAGGGGTTACTGAAGCCCTAGGCAGGCATTGCTGGAGGCAGCGCCACGCCGTGGGTGAGGTGTGCGTGCCAAGGACCCCTGCTTGTGCGGTGCCAGGAGACACTGGCCCTGCTGTGCCACCTGAAGGACTTCTCTCTCCATCCACACACAGGGGGGACCGGCCCTACCTCGGACACAGGCTGGGGCTGCATGCTGCGGTGTGGACAGATGATCTTTGCCCAAGCCCTGGTGTGCCGCCACTTAGGCCGAGGTGAGCCATGCTGGGGGCTGCGAGTGGCGTGGTTTAGAGCAGACCCCAAGCAGCACGAGTTGCAGTTTGCAAACACTGACTTCGAAGGGTGCCAGTAGCTGCTCCTCTAGGGAGTCTTTAAGCTGCCGTGCCTGTTTCCTGCCCCGGTGGGGGTTCATTATGGTGGGGGACGTGGATGAGTCTGGAATCATAGAGAGTTCAGCTTTTCTCTTCGGGAAGGTTCCCCTGCCACCCACGTCCCAAGTAGTAGGCTGAAGACCTGCTTCCGTTCCACGTGGAACTGACCACCTGTCTCCAACAGATTGGAGGTGGGCACAGTGGACGCAGCAGCCAGACAGCTACTTCAATGTCCTCAACGCTTTCATCGACAGGAAGGACAGCTACTACTCCATCCACCAGATAGGTGGGCGCTCAGCCTGGGCGGCCTGGAGCCCAGCATGGGCAGTCCCTGTGGGACCCGGAGATCTCTCTGGACCTGTGATCTGCAGGCCTGGGGCTCTAGACCACTCTGCCTGTGGGCACCAGGGCTCTGGCACCTGCTCAGCCTCTAAGCCTGGCCCTGCCCTGCTGTACATGTGGCTGGTGGTGGCCCGCTCCTTGTCACAGTCTGTGACACCTAGAGGGCTGTCCCCTCTCTGGCCTGTCGGCGAGTGCAGCACTCAAATGCAAGGGCCGAGGGCGACCAGCCGGCCTCACGTTAAGTTCCCCGGACTGAGCCGCCGGCCCTCACTCACACATGGGGTCAACACGTGGTGAAGGGACCTGTGCTTTCTCCGGACCGTGGTAAAGGCTGTCATCCCAGCCCTGGGTGTGGGCCCTCCTGTGCGGCCTGTCCTGGGCCACATGTCCACGTGTGGGGGCTGGGAGGCAGCGGGCGCCAGGTCATGGCGGGACGTGTGGCTAACCTAGGTCTGTCTCCTGCAGCGCAAATGGGAGTTGGCGAAGGCAAGTCGATAGGCCAGTGGTACGGGCCGAACACGGTCGCCCAAGTCCTCAAGTACGTACTGAGCCCCGCCCGGCCCTCTCAGGGGCCGCATGGGCATCCCCGGATGCGGAGACCCTCCCAGTTCTTCATTGCTACAGGAAGTGTGGTGTCCCCGTTTATATGTGGGGCCCTCGGAAAGTCCCATGGAGGTGCCCATGCCCAGTGGTCTTGTCAATCGGAGTTTTTGTTTTGTTTTTCATTTTTTAATTGCCAGGAGGCACTTGTGCTCCCCAGAGAGAGAAACCCCCAGTGGAGGCAGTCACAGTGCCACAGTCCATTTTCCCCGTTTCTCCCTCCCGTCAGGATTTTGGGTGCACACATACGCCTCATGTGTTTTCAAGCTGCCAGGGCTGGGATTTGAACTGCAGACGGCTATGTAAGCGGGCTCCCTGTGCTTTCCAACAAAGGCCCTCGTGAGCCAGACCGCGTCCGCGATGCACCTGTTCTAGCTGGGGTACAGGCCTCCTGGAGCAGGGTCTCCTGTGGTCTGCAAAGTTGGGGCCAGCCTGGAAGCAAGCTTCTAGGAGGGAAACTGCCGTGCACGGCTATGCGCTTGCTAGAGGTCAGCACCCTGGTGTCCATCCATCTCCCCTGGCCTGGGAAGGTCCCTGTGACTGTGCACTCCTCGCTGCCTGACTGGAGTACAGTGCCCATACCTCCCCGAACCCCACTTCTGCTCACTTTCCCGGTGCCATGTCTGAGTGTTGGCCTGCACCCCAACCCTGCTGCCACCGGCTTGTGTATCCCTGGCTCTTCCACAGGGCCAGGGCGGGTCTGGTCTTCTTTACTGGTCAGGGTTGCTTAGCCTGGCCCAGCCCCTCTGTGGTGCGCCCAGGGCTCACCCACCCAGGCCTTCCTCCTGATGGACTGGGCCACCAACTCCCGGGGCTGTCTCAGGCCTCGACTCTCCCTCTAAACCCTGCCGTGTGCGTCTCTCCACTCCACGTCCCGCTCCTGACTGTTCTGCGGGGTCCTCTGTCCCTGTGGCCACCGGCTTTCTCCTCTCATCCAGCACCTTGGCATCTTCCTGGACACGGCTTCCCCTCCCACTTTCCCAGCCTGCCCTGCCTGAGTCCTCCCGGGCCTGCAACTCAACCCTCACCAGTGCTTCCCTCCGGCTGCTGCTCCAGCACCCGCCCAGGTCACCAGCATGTCTTCGTGTCGAACCTGAGCTGGCTCCCGTCAGCCGCAGACATAGCGCTCATCACCAGTGCTTGCTCTCGCATACGCAGGCCCCTCACCATCCCCAAGCTGGTCCTGGGGAGCCCCCATGCCCAGGACTGGCCCCCCTACAGATATGACCCAGGTTGTCCCATGGGGTGGCTGTGCGTTTCGCCTCTACACCCAGATGTCCAGAGCCCGTGACTGCCCACAGCCCCCATCGGCCCCTCCCTGTCCAGCCTGTCTTCCATGGTGGATGGCAACATTGGGCCTGCAGGGTGGACCCAGAGGATCTGTATCCTCTCCAGCGCCCAGGCCCGGCCAGTGTCTGCTCTCTCTACCACTCCAACACAGGCCACTGCTTGTCTGTCTTCCCGTGAACTTTTCTGCCACCAGGAGTCTCTCCCAGTGGCAGCCCATCATTTTTTAAGAATGTCCAGCCCCATGGCACTCATGGACAGATGTCTGTAGGCAGGCGGGCTGCCCTGTGAGCTGGCCCACCACCTGCACACCCCTTGGAGCTCTCACACGGGCTGTGCCTCTTCCTAGCACCTTCCTGACTCGCCCTGTCAGCTGTGCCTCACCACCACCTGTCCCCATCAAGGCAGCCCTCCGCCTGCCCCGCCACATTCTGCCTGCTGCCCCATGATATCTGCCTCCTGAGGGCCACACGTGTCCCTCTTGCCCACAGTCTCAGTGTTGTGACTGGGCCAGAGGGGAGGACAGAGGTGGCCCAAGGAGAGGTGGCCCAAGGAAAGTGACCCTGGGGCTGCCCCTCGTTTTGGGCCGGTGCACCTTGGTAGGAGCTGCTCCCAGTCCAGGATGTCCCTCCTCGCTTCTCTGTTCTTCCCATGAGTCCTCCGGTCCCACCGCAGTGCCGCGGAGAGGTCGGCTTCCTGCTGCCATGTGTTTGACTGTGTCCTGCCCCACCCCAGGGCGAGTCTGGCCACTGTGCTCCCTGTGGGTGGCAGGTCTCTGCCGGGACACAGGCCAAGGGCTGTGGGTCAGCGTGAGCTGGAGGGCAGGGCAGGGCAGACGTGCTGGGAGCCTGGCCTGTCTCCCACTCCTCATTGCACTCAGGAGCCCCTGCTGCCCGAGGCCTCACAGGAGGGCCTGGCCTCAGCTTCTCCCTGGTAGTGGCAGGGGATGCGCCCTTTACTTTCTGAGCTTCAGCCCTCCCACTCTGGGAAGTGGCTCTGACATGTCACCGTGAAGCTGGGACGTGGTGGGGCTGGGGAAAGCTCACGGCATATCCTGTCCCGCTCTCCGCAGGAAGCTGGCCGTCTTTGACACGTGGAGCTCCCTGGCCGTCCACATAGCCATGGACAACACGGTGGTGACAGGGGAGATCAGTAAGTAGGCGGCTGTGGCTGGCCCGGCCACAGGGCTGCTCCATGCCCACTCGCCTGAGCCCAAGGTGGCCTGCGACAGGGGGTGTGGGTCCCCGGGCAGTGCCAGTGCCCCTGGCTAGATCCAGGCCAGGCTGAGAGGAGTGTCGACTCTGGCATGATGCTCTTCACTCCGAGCCGTCATTTCCAGTGTCCGTCCAGAGGTTGCTGAGATGTGCTGTGTTTAGCCGCGTTTGTGCAGGAGCCTGAGGCCTCTCGGCGCTCTGACACACACCGAGGCACCCCAGAGCGACCTCCTGGCGTGCCACGCTCGCGCTAGGACACATTGTGGCTGGGATTCACGGCTGCTCTGGAGCAAGACTGCATGCCCAGCTCACGTCCCCAGAGCCCCTGCGTGCCTGTGTGCTGCTGCCGGGCCTGGTGCTCCCTGTGCACATCAGGAGGCAGGGCCCGGTGTGCAGGTCCGCGGTGCAGGCGGCTCCTGCCCACTGCAGGCTGGGCTCAGCATGTATGCGTGTTGGGTCACAGGCACGTTCCTGCCCTGCCAGAGAGACTGGCCGTCCGGGCACTCGACCTCGCCTGGGGCAGGTGGCCCCGGGCAGCAGTTCTGCTCCCTGTGCTGCCACGCTGGGCCGCCTGCTGGGGTTCGTAGTGCCCCGTCCCCTGTCTGGGCGCAGGTGTGTGCTGCTGCTTCCACCTTTCTCTGCTGTTGCCCTCATGCTCATTTCATTGCCAGAGGGCAAGAGCTCTGGCCCTGACCCCTGGGATAGGGTTAGGCCACGCCATGATCCCTTCTCCCTCATTCTCCCAGGATCTTGGGCACTCACACACACGCCTGGTGTGATTTTCTTTTCTTTTTTAAATAATTATTTACTTATTTAATTCCATTTGTTATTATAATTAGTATTATTATTTTAATCTGACTAGAGAGAGACAGAGAGAAAGGGAAAGTGAGAAAGCAAGCCACCAGGTCCAGGTCTTGAACTGCGATCAGCCATATGGGAATCCAGTGCCCTTATCCACTACACCACCTGCTGGTCCAATCTGGTGTGATTTTTTTTTTTTTTTGAGAGATTTTCACTGTAGGGCGCGTGCGCTCGCCAGACAGACAGACAGAGACATAGAGACAGAAAGCGAGAAATCACCCCCCAGGGGGGATGGTCACGCTGCAATCCCTTCTCCTCTATCTATTGAATACATGTTAATCCACTTCAACTTACTTTCTTTTAGTTTTAATTTTACTAATTATTATTATTATTTTTAAATTGCCATAGGGTACATGCGCTCGCCAGAGAGGGAGAAGAGAGAGAAAGAGATTCCCCTCGAATCTGGTGTGATTTCCAAGCCACAGGTCCAGGACTTGAACTGTGGCTGGCTCTGTGGGAGTCCAGCGATGTAACTGCTACGCCCTCTGCTGGCCCTCCAGCGTGTTTTAAGCCACTGGAGCTGGGATTTGTGCAGCCAGCCATGCAGGATCGGCTTCCTTAGCCAGTAGGCGACTGGGAGGTACCTCTATTGCTTGAAGCTGGTCAAACACTGGAAATACGGAGAAAATACAAAGAAGGTTACTGATCTGACCACTGAGAAATAACTCAGAGTAAAATTTGACATACTTCTCTCCAGTGTTTTTTTTCCCCTTTAGTTTGTTATAGGGCATGAGCACTCACAGGGATGGGAGTAAGAAATCATTCCCTGGGGGACGGCCTTGCCACACTCCCTTCTCCTCCAGTCGCCTCTTGGAGTCTTAGGCACGCAGACTCACTGCCCGGTCAGTGTGTGGGACCCGGCCACCTTCAACTCCATCCACTCGTGGGCCCCTTTTAATGCTTTTCAAAAACGCACACAGTCCCTCAGCTTCTCCTCCAGGCAGCGAGGCACTCTGGACCCCAGGGTAGGGTGCCGCTGTCCCTGCCATTCAGGAATCTGGTGTCCCTCACACGCAGCTGAGCTCTGCCGACTCGCCTGTCAGGTGTTGGCCCCGAGTGGTGGTGGGCCTGTCACCCCCCCACACACCTTGTTGCTGAGTCCCCTGTTGTAATGTGGTCTTGCTGAACTGGTGATTCCCATTTGGGTCTGCCACTGTCTCTCTCCCCGAAGCTCATATCCCACATCTGGCTCGCAGTACCAGTCAGGCTGGCCTGTCCTCCTTGTTCCCATCATGTGCTGGCCACTGGGCACGTCCCCGCTTCCTGGCCATCACCAGCTATTCCAGCACCTCCTGCACATCCCCATCCTGCCTGCAGTCAGCCTGGCTCCTTCAGTGGGCATGGCAGTTAGAAGCCAGACACCCCCTGCCGGGCTCCTGGGAAGAGTGCAGCCCTCCCCCCAGCCCCGGTGATTTGGTGATGAAGATCCACATGTGGATGAGGGGTGCAGGGAGGGAGAGGACCGCTTGTGGGTGAGGGGTGCAGCGTGGGTGAGGGGCACAGGGAGGGAGAGTTCCCCGCGTGGGTGAGGTGCGCAGGGAGGGAGAGGACTGCGTGTGGGTGAGACACAGGGAGGGAGAAGGGCGTCACCCCCCGGTGCCTTTCTCACAGAGGGGCCCCCCAGGGGCTCTGGGAACCCCGGGGAGCTACCCACCCAGGCTGGTGGCTCCAGGGCACCTCACTATGAGTGAGGGGCTTTCTTTATCTGTGAAGCGCTTTTTTCTCTTCCCCGTGAATGGCAGAGTTAGGGAGGTCTGTCTTGGGCTGTCCTGTTTTCCAGGTGTTTGTTCCCACTGAATCTGAAGCTTGGCTTTGTTGGCCAGCTGTTCACTGTCTCCCTGGGGAGAGTCTTGCCCACCCCTGCCCCGGGAACCATGGATGCCCATCTTCCCTTCCAGGAAGGTTGTGCGGAACCAGCTTCCCCTGTGTGGGGGCTGCTGCGAGCCCTGCAGACCCCGGCCACCACTGCAATGGCTTCCCTGGCGGAGCCGAGGGAGCCAGCAGGCCGTCGCCATGGCGGGCCCCCGGGGGTCTTCTTTCCCCCCC